CTGGGTGGGTGTGGCCAGCTTGATGCCACCCCCCAAACTACTGGCATGTTTCCTCTTCGCATTGGGTAGACCAGGACGATTTAACAATTCACTTTACCATATTTTTCGGAGTATAAGATGCTCCAAAGTATAAGACGCACCTAGCTTTTTGGGAGAAGAACAAGGGGGGAAAAATCTGCCTCTGACTCCCAGCAATTTGCCTTGTGGAGCAAACAGCAAGTTTCACTTTCAATTTCACCAGGGGCCTCCCGATGATCAGCTGTTTCCGGCTGCCGGGATTGCTATAGCCTATTGCAGCCTCCGCGAGCCCCATTTCCCCTGTTTTCTGCAAGGAGGTAAATTTCTGGGAGGAAGAGGCCAAAGGGTCTGGGACGCTGGGTGGGTGGGGCTACATTCAGTAAGTATAAGACGCACCCAAATTTTCTCCCTCTTTTAGGGGGAGGGAAAGGTGCGTCTTATACTCCGAAAAATACGGTAACACGATTATTTTGTGCTTTCATTTGTACTTATCTTCTCTCTTTTAAAATAACGCGTTGAGGTTCGTTACAGCTTGGAATGCGGGAAGACTTTTCATCCTGTGGTTGTAAGGATGGATTAGACGGCTTTTAACCATTCCTTAAACTGAAAAGATAATTAACAGAAGGATGTCTGGAGACTATCTTTAGATAATCAGATGCCAGTTGAGACGAAAGTTGACTCTTTATTTACCCCTCTTCCTTCCCTCCCCTCAGTCTGTGTCATAAATCACATTTCCCAATGTGATTCGAAAGTCGATTCGTCTCAACTGGCATCTGATTATCTAACTTCGAACAAGCTTTGCGGTTTTGTACTGAGCAAGGAGGGGCAACCAACGTTCCTCGTTCGGTTTTTCTTCGCCGCGTTAACTATAAAAAGGAATGTAAGACGGGTCTCAGGGAGAGATCCCGCTTTGTTAGGGTTCCCCGATCAACTGCTTTTAAAGGATCTTCCAACTCGGTTGCTCATTGGGAAGGTAAACTGAGGCCAGTGTCGGACCTGCAAGCTATATTTTCTTTTTAGGCTTCAGGCCTGCCGCACTTTCTTTGGGATTATACGGAGTTGGGTGATATGTAGCCATAACAACATTCTTCTTAGAAAGTCAAGGTCATTCTTTGTCTCTGCACCTGGCCGGATCAGGATGGGGGAGGAATCTGCCTTCGCGGTAGTGGGAGATTGAACCGTGTGACGAACATGTGAGTGTTGGGGCGGGATCTTGATCTCTTCAAAGAGACGGGACCCATAACATGTGGTGGGAGCCAGGAGAGAAGGGCCTTCTCGGTGGTGGCTCCCTCCCGGGGGAACATCCTCCTTGGGGAGATAAGATGCGCCCCCACCTTAAAACTCTTTGGAAAGACCTGGTTTTGACAACCGGCCTGGGTACGCCAGGGTGATACAGGACCGATCAAGTGGTTAGTTTGGTCGTTTGTCACCAGAGTGGTGAGAATTTATTTCAATTTTATTGGAGTTTAATTTTTGTAAGCTGCCCAGGGTCACCGTGAGTGAATTGGGACGTCATATAAATTTTCTTCCTAAATAAGGAATTCCATCCCACCAATTTTTTTTTTAATTCTTTCAGGTTTCCCTGCACACCTAGGAACCATTGCTGAGTTAACCAAGTATCTGACCATGATAATCTTCACCTGCTCAGCCCGTCATGCCAGTGTCAACAATAGCCAGGTTTGGAGGGTCTTTCTTCATCCTTAATGCTATGGGAGGATAAGGTGGGATGAACCGTCCATCTGCCCCCTTTTCTCCAACTCAATGCTCCCCATGCTGGCCAGCTATGATGGAAAGTAAGCCAAGATATCTGGATTATATCAGGTTGGTGGAAATCTCACCGTATGCCTGAAAAGGGGTTTAATCAACACAACTCCAGCTTGGAGATGAAGCTCCTTAGATGTCTCCATGCTTGGAAATAAAGCTACTTAGATGTCTCCATGTTTGGAAATGAAACTCCTTAGATGTATTCATGCTTGGAGTTAGAGCTTCTTAGATGTCTCCATGCTTGGAATCATCCTTGGATGATTCCATGCTTGGAGATAAAGCTACTTAGAGATCTCCATATTTGGAAGTGAAGCTCCTTAGATGAGTCCATGCTTGGAGATGGAGCTCCTTGGCTAATTCCATGCTTAGAAACGGAGTACCTTGTATGTCTCCATGCTTGAAGATAAAGCTACTTAGATGTCTCCATGTTTGGAAATGAAACTCCTTAGATGTATTCATGCTTGGAGTTAGAGCTTCTTAGATGTCTCCATGCTTGGAATCATCCTTGGATGATTCCATGCTTGGAGATAAAGCTACTTAGAGATCTCCATATTTGTAAGTGAAGCTCCTTAGATGAGTCCATGCTTGGAGATGGAGCTCCTTGGCTAATTCTATGTTTGGAGATGGAGTTCCTTAGATGTCTCCATGCCTGGAGATGCAGCTCCTTAGATGTCTCCATGCTTGGAAATGAAGCTCTTTAGATGTCTCCATGCTTGGAGATGAAACTCTTTAGATGTCTCCATGCCTGGTGGTGAAGCTCCTTAGATGTCTCCATGCTTGGAGATGAAACTCCTTGGATGATTTCATGCTTGGAGATAAAGCTCCTTAGATGTCTCCATATTTGGAAATGAAGCTCCTTAGATGACCCCATGCTTGGAGATGGAACTCTTTGGATGGCTCCATGCTTGAGAGATGGAGCTACACATTACATTTGTAGAAAGCATCCCAAATAGCCAATGGAGGTCTCCTTTCTAGATCTCCTCTAGAGTAGATCTTCGTCACTCCAAATGGGAGCTAAGGAATGGCTCCTGGGTCTGAAGACCCTCTAACCTCCACCTTCCTTTCTTCTCCAGTTTGATTTTGGAGCCTGGATGCCCAACTACCCTTCCACCATGAGAAGGCCTCCGCCGGAATCCAAAGGCGGCGTGACTTTTGCGGACATCCTGGAGACCTTACCAGATGTCAGCACAAGCTGCCAGATGTTGCTCATCTTGTGGCTTCTCAGCCGAGAACGAGGAGATAAGGTGAGACAATATTTTCGGCATCACAGGCCAAATTAGGGAGACCATGAGAGGGAAGGATTAAGGAGTTAGCGGTGGCCTAGAGGTGGCGCTCTCGTCTCACAATCAGGAGGCTGTGGGCTAGATCCTAGGTAGAGGCAGATATTTCTCTCTCTGGTCAAGATGAAAATATATCTACCGAATATAACTCCGCATTGGCAACAGGGTAGGGCAGCTGGCCAGTAAAACACTCAGCTCCATTCAGTTGTCCAGATTCCACCCCGCAAGGGATTATGGGTCGTTAAAAGAAGATGATGATGATGAGAGGGAAGGATTAAGGAATCTTTAATGTTTAATCCCAATCTGCAATTTAGCCATGAGATTTTTAAATAATCCCAACACCAAGATTCAACAAATCAGGGTTGTGCTATAATATGTTTTTGAGGTTCTGGTTGGGTTGATTTAAAGCGACGTGTCAGTCCAGCCACTGTAGTTTATAAACCATGGTTTGCAACTCCAAACAATACTAGTGTAGTTAATACTAGTCAAACAAGCCACATCTTAAGAGTGAAATCTGAATACAGCCCTGGCTTCTCAATCTTAGTTAACTTGTGGATTGTTGTGAAGATAGACCTGGTTCTCCATTTATGACCGGTTGCTGATCCGATCGTTTTAAATTAATTGCCATTCATATATTGCTTTACTTTTCATTAAATTGCTTGGTAGGAAAGATCTCTTTTGTCATATTGTAAAGTTTGAAATTTTCTGAGGGGAAATAGATCTTCCAGTCTTGTGAGGGCCGCCATCGTTCCTGGATTCCCAGGAACACAACATTTCCTTCAAGGGATCATTCCTCAGATCCTGGGAGATCTCCATCCTTGCTCTAAAACACTTCCATTGAATTAATGGAGCCCTCAACTCCAGAACATCAGCTCCAAAGGAGACATGTCTCGTGGTCCCCAAACATCTCCCTTGGGTTGATGGTTCTCCTACTCCTAGAAGTCTTCTCTCGAGAAGATGGTCCTCCAGATCTCCTAAGATGGGACCTCACTATGGCTTTCTTTCATCTCCTTCCAGAGGCCGCTGGGTTACTACCCCGAGGAACATTTCACCGAGGAAGGCCCGAAGAAGGTCATCGCCGCTTTCCAAAAACATCTGGCCCAGATATCCCAGGAAATCGAGGAGAGGAACCGACGCCTTGTGCTGCCATACAATTACCTCAACCCTTCTGAGGTAGAGAACAGCATCTCCATCTAAGGAGACCGGTCGCTCGTCCTGTTGTAGGATGAGGTTCCTCAACCTACCGAGTCATGGAGGACCTCCCACGGAAAGACACTGGTCAAGAGTTAGGGCACTTAAGGTGTTCTGACCTAGGCTTCCCCAAAAAGCAGGAGGCCGAATCCTGGTCCCGACAAAACCCCTTTTATTCAACAAAGGCGAATTCCTCTCGTTCACCTTCAGCCAAGGCCTGGCAAACAGTCTTTCAAAGGAATATTTATGACCACAGACCTTATCTAGCTTGGAAAGCTGCCGTGTCAATATTTTCCAAAGGAGGCGCTGTGCAAGGAAAGNGATAGATAGACAGACAGACAGACAGACAGACAGATAGATAGATGGGTGTTTATTAAATAAATGTACTATATATTAAATATCTGATATTCTTTATTCATAAAGAAGAGGAAATCCACCTGTTCTCAAAGCCACAGAAGGCAGAACAAGAAGCAACGGATGGAAACTCATCATGCAGAGAAGGAACCTGGAATTGAGAAGAAACTTCCTGACAGTAAGAACAATTAACCAGGGGAACCGCCTGCCACGAGAAGTGGTTGAGTGCTCCAACACTGGAGGTTTTCAAGAAGAAAAACTGCCCCACCGCATATATCCGGAATGGTCTAGGGTCTCCTGCCTGAGCAGGGGGGCTGGACTAGAAGACCTCTACGTTCCCTTCCAACTCTTGTTATTCTGTATTTTGACCAGGGGGGTCGGACTAGAAGACCTCTAAGGTCCCTCCCAATGCTTGTTAGTCTGCGTTCCGACTCCTTCCCCTTCTAGCCACCATTCCTGGGCTGACGTCACCTGACTGAAGACTTGATGGATGTTGGGTCTCCTATCCGGTTGCTCGCTCCAGCATTGCTTCATCAGTTGGATGCACTCCACCGGCGCTTGGTCGATGGAGACAGAGGGGCGGCAAAGGGGAGGGGGCTTCTCCACCTTCTTGATGATCTCTGCTTGGACAAAGACAAGAATCCGTCCTCGGCACAAAGTCCAGCGCCATCTGGAGATCCCCCCACCAAAGAAAACACCCGTCCCACCCTAGGAATTGTGAAGAAATATACCCGTGACCCAGACAAATGCGCGCACGACAAAAGCGCGCCGACAAAACGGCGGCGAGGAAACCGCGACGTCATAAACGCAGCCACAACAACGCGATTTAAGTTAAGGTAAGGTTTAGGGTTAGTTTAAGGTTAGGGTTAGGATTAGGGTTAGGGTTATTAGGTTGTTATTAGTTGTTTGTCGAAGGCGCGCTTTTGTCGGCGCGCTGTTGTCGGCGCGCTTCTGCGCCCATTCGTCGGCGCGA